AACTTTACGATGAATTAGCTGTGTGTGAAACTGAAATATCATCCAAATTAATTGCATATTTTGAAATAATCAGCACTGGCAGAAAACTATGCCCGATTGGCAATTGCAACAAATGTGTTATTTCCAAAAATCTACAGGCAAACATGTTATTACAGCATTTATTCATCTAATTTGAATCTATAAATATACTCCTCATTGTTTGTTAATAGATGTTTATTAGGGGTGTAACGATACACTCATGTCACAATTCGATACATATCACGATACTGAACTCACGATACGATATTATTGCGATACTCCAAGGTTAACAAAAATGCACTGTTGATTAAATTGCTAACTTTGATATAATTGTGGGTTTAAATGAATAGGTTTGGACATGGTTCTTGTAACCCACCAGAATAACAATATTCATGATTCTGAAGCTAAAATTTCTGAGTTATTGTAGATGAATATGCTTGCACGCTTTCACTGACTAGGTATATTTAAAATAATGTCGGCCACTTTTTACTGGTAACATCAAACGTTTGGCTTCATCGGGACCCACAAATATTCCCACATTGCATTATTATAGAAAACCCAAACTTTTTCTCACACAGCATTTTTTATTTTGGGGAGACTATTCACGATACGTATTGTTGCATTTTTGTATTGCGATGTATTGTGGCATGATATATTGTTACACCCCTAATGCATTAGGAAATGCTGAAATTAACATTAACCAAGATTAATAAATGCCGTAAAAGTATTGTGCGTTTAGCAGGATTATTAATGTTATAGTAAAACTAAAAGCATGAAAGCATACTTGATATAAAATAAAACAGGAAGTGAAATAAATTAGATTAATATTTTAGATAATTGACCAGGCAACTTTTATCATTTAGTTGACTAAATACTAAATAAACTAAAAACAATACCAGTATACAAAAAAAAGACACGCAATAAAATTACTAAAACGTTAACTAAAATTAAAATTAAAATCAAATCGAATTCAAAATATGAACAATATCTCGATGATACTAAAATACCACTTTAGCTCGTAATTCTTAATGCGTCAACTAATGTTAACGAATAACACATTGATCAACACTTTAATGTTTTAATTATTCAGCTCAGTTTGGGCTTTTTATGCCCGACCACGTGAGTGCCTTGGAAATGTTGTTGTTGTTTTTTTATCTGATTTTCACTTCTTATGCATTTAATGAGCACCACCAATGCATTTACACACCCAGTTTGAATTTCATTACATGAGCTAAAAACACTTCCACATTTTTAAAAAAAATATCCTTTTTTGCACTGTTCACAGAAGAAAGAAAGCCATACAAGTTTGGAATGACATAAGGATGGGTAAATGATGGCTCATCACTTCTGGGTGAACTTCTGGCCTGGGTATCTCTTTTATGATACAAAGATTTGCAATGCGCTCAGTCTCATGCAGTCAAACGCCAACACCAACACACAGGCGTCTCATCTTTCTTATGGCACAGTGACGAATGCAGCCACTGAGGGTGCTGTTCACTCTGAGAGGATTAGAAGTCTTCATTAGTGCCAACTGTGTTAACTTCTGTTCCTGTTTCTAATACAGTAGCCCTGTTGCTCAAGGACTTACACCGGAAAGGCCCAGAAGCATGTGTGAGGTTTAAGGAGCACGTGGATAACAGGAAAAATGGGATTGCGGTATTTTCTCACTAAAATGCAGACGTCATTACTGTTTGTTTAGCTTGTTCACACATTCCTATAATAAGCTACACACAGAAATAATCACCATCAACAATCAACAAAGACAATTTCAAAGCCGTGCTATTTAATAGACACAGTTTAACAACCATAGCTGCACATTTTTGTATGTTTTGAGTTATTGAGCAGTCAATAGACCCGATATAATCCGGCTATGAGTGGGACACTTCTAGCCAAAATAACCTTGAATTTGGTGTCTTTGCCAAAATAGCTTGCAAGATGTATGATATTCCATCATGTAAGCAAAGTCAACAGTGACTACAAGGTGTTTGGTTTTATTTCTTTGTCATGGTCTATCTATGCGTAGCCTGTGTGTTTATGGTTTAGACGTCTATTACATTTTCACTGACTGCCTTGTTTTAGCCAAGACGTTATCACTGTGTTCGGATGGCTATTAGACGTCTTTTGAACGCAAAACTGCTTGCTGGGTTTAAACAAAAAGAACCAGCTCATGTGACTTATGTTTTCAGAGTTGCAACAGTTGCAGCCCACTTTTTAAGCAGCCTTCGATCTATAAGTTTTGCTTCAAGGATTTCAAAACATTCTTCAATAAAAAGTACTAACCCTTGAACCAACCATTACGAAAAAGAACCATGGTTTTATTATAGTAAAAGTGTAACAACCACAGTTTTTTGGCAGAATGAGTACCATTTGTATAACCACCGTTTTACAAAAAATACCATGGTTGAACTATGGTTAGTGTAGCAAAACCACAATTTTTGTAAGGGAAACCAACCATCTCTGAGATGAATTACAAAAAGTACATTTAATGTAAAGCAAAACATATTTGAAAATCTACTTATCTCATGCAGAATTGCAAATGAAGTTATAAACTATGGTATAAAAACACAATAGATTTTTTCAAAATTTATTTGCACCGCACTTTTTGTTTTAAAGCTGTTTTCAGAAAATGTCTTCACGCCTTAGTCACATTTAGCAGATGAGCTCAACGACAATATAGTATTACTGGCTAATTAGTGCAGATAAATGTACCATACTTATATATCCAACTGTATAAACAGACCAGTGTGATAATATAGTTGACATTCTGCAACGATATAAACAATCACGCAGGGTTTGCTATATCTACCAGTTTACATGAGTGCATGCAGATAAATTTGGATATACTTATATATATATATATATATATATATATATACATACAGCTTTGCGATTATATAGTTACATTTTGCAACAACACTCACTAAGTCAAGACTTGCAATATTTGCAAGATTACTTTAAAATAAATTGAAAGGTGATAATATACTCTAAAAATTGCTGGGTTGTTTTAACCCAACCTTGGGTCAAACGTGGACAAACCCAGCCATTGGGTATATTTTTTAATTACATTTTTAACCCAGCGTTTGAGTTTGTCCATATTTGGCCCAAAGTTGGGTTAAAGAGTGTATAGTTTGCATTCTGCAACGATATAAAATACGTGGTTTATTGCAAAATAATTAAATATATAGAATATAGAAGTAGTTTAAAGACACTATTATATTTCTCTTTGGAAGCTGTGAATGGGGTTTTTACTTCTGGAAACTACTGTTGCGGTTTATAAAAGAAGTCCAATAAAAAAGTGATGCACTTTTCTTGCTGACGGTCAGGTTCAGATAAGGTCCTCTCTGTCCAGCATCAAACTGATTTCCTCTCTTGAAATCCTGTTACTGATCATGTGTGGACCCACATCTGATTCGGCCTATTGAATGAGATATCATTGTTTGCTGATCTTTGGCTGCACATAATACAAAAAGACTAAGAGATGACACTGATGAATGTGACAATGAGTGAACATGTCCCATTAATCATTGCAATCCAAAGATGGCTAATACGTGACTAATAACAGTAGCTTTTGAACAAACAAGTTATGAATCGCCAGCATCATCACATTTGCAGGCAATTTACACGCGGCTCTGAATAATAATTTATACAGAACGGTTTCACAAGTTGGTTAATAAACACCATGAAATGAGGTGTAAAAGTGTTTAAATTGTGCCAACTCAAGGCTTTTTTAAAAGAAGTACAAATCCATCATGTTAAACAAGGTAATAAGCAACTATCCGTGTATTACGACCTTTGACTCCTGGGTCTGAAACTGAGAGCCCGAGGAACCAACAGGAAGTGAAGCTCAGCGGATTAGAGAAAGTAACCTGTCCCCCTCCATCGAGACCCTTTTGGTCATTTCCTCCGAAACACATGCTGAATAAAGCTGGATTACAGGAACTCATTCCTGGCTCGCATTTCTGAGGAGATCAATCAAGGCTACGGACACAAATTTAAGCCATACATAGCAGTATGAATTCCCAAGACTGTGTGAGAAAATGCGATTTTGACACCCCGAGGTCACAATAAATTTAATTCAATCGTCCGGTTTTAATGCAGTGCTACTTTTTTGATGGCAAACATCTCCCTAAATGAATATCTGTAGAAAATCTACAGTGATGTATGTAGGCTCTGTGAAGTCATCCTAAGCTAATTTTCACAACAGAGTGTCGAAGCAAGCAATGGTTATCTTGAGCGGCAGCTGCAGAGTAATTAGTTGCTTGATTCACATAAGAAGCTTACATACTAAGGGTTGGGCAAAAAGAAAGCAGATTACAATTCGTGAAGCTCTAGCCCTGCAACCACACTTTTGCACCAGAGGAACCTGTTGGGCTGTCAACTGATTAAGCAACTGCAATACAGGCTCAAACTCCACGTCCCCTCCACAGCAGACTGTTTAAGTCTTTCAGAAACAGGCCCGAGTGCTGAAATGTGTGTGAATTTGCTTTGTACCAGCAGCTTGGGGTCTGCTAGAGATTGTCTTCAAGTCACATGCTCGTCTCTGTTACCTAGCAACGCCAAAGCTCATGCAAAAGTTCTAAGAGAACCTCAAATCTGTCTGAGGGAGGCTTTGTGCGACAATTCCATTTGGAACTTCTTCTTTTTTTTCCAAAAAAGAAAATACACTTGTTCTGTCACGTATAGAGTTTGTTTTCACGATTCTGACTTTGCTTTGAGCGAAAAGCCGTTCATTCTACTATGCATGAATAACAATGCCGTTAGATAACACCGTTATTCCTAGGAATAAATAAGCGCCCGTCTATTTTCTAACATGCGGTGAAAATCTAATTGCACATTTCCCCTCTTGTGGGACAATTAAACCAGAACACATGTGATTTATGCGGAGTAACTTGCCCGTTATGTCTATTGTTAGAAATGATACGCACTAAATCATATATAAAACAAATATGATACCAGAGAAGTTAATAAAAGTAGCAACGTACCTTGGCAATCGCAATGAAGAGCACATAAAGTTATAATGAGGAGTAGTTGTAGGTGCATCGTGACGCACGGTCCCGGCTGGTGTGTCCAGCCCCTCATGAAGCCGGACAGATGGAGCTCTTGGGACTGAGATGCAGTGAAGTGGCTCTTACTCACTTGTCCCTGGCTGATGAAAAAGGGCGTGCACATGACGCTCGCTCCCCCTCAGCTCGACCCACAGGATCAAATCCTTCACTGGCTCCCAGCAACCTGTTGAGCTCATTGACGAGACTACATAACATGTGAATTGCGAAACAGTCACAGTATGAGAAATATTTGGGTTCATTGACAAATTAAAGCTTCAAAAATGCGTGTTTTATAAAATCGTTTCAAAACTGATGCAATGCATTTTTTTTTTGTTTAAACTTCTTTCAAAGTGTCAGTTGCTAAACAACATTTCAAAGTGTTTAAAATATTGTTTTCCTTTCTTTTCTTTTCATTTTTACTGTTTTATGTCAGGCGGTAAAATCTGTTGCAGTGTAATTATAGCCTAACGTTACATTTAAGTAGCTACTGAGAGGCTACTATGGGTTATGGTTGGATTCGAGTTTGGTTTAGTGTTAGTTGCATGTAATTGTGGCTAATTTATAGTTGTTACTATAGTAAAAATGTAACGTGAGTAACAATTAGTTAAATAAATATAATAAACTCGCGCATTAACACAACACGCATGCGCACGTGTTCAGAGCGACGCATGCGTGTTGCATGAACGCGTGCTGGAGATTAATTATTTGTAAATAAAGTGGTAAGTTATTATTATTATTTCTCCCCAAACAAAGCACTCATAAAAATCGTCATAAAATTGAAGTTAAACCACTAGTCACAAGGATTACTTTACGATGTCTTTCTGGTGCTTGAAAGTGGTGTACATCTGTAGGCCTAGCTGTCAATGAAGGGACATAATAAATCTCATTAAAAATACCTTAATTTGTGTTCTGAAGATGAATGTTTTAAGTTATTGGTTTGGAACGACATGAGGGTGAGTAATTAAGCTGGTGATCAGCCACCTAATGACCAGCTTGCAACAGTTAATGACTTGCTTAAACCAGAAAACTATGTTACAAAAGACAGCCATCTTAACCTGGATTCTCCAGAAGGGATATCAGGCATCAACCAACATTTGCAACGGATATAAAATTAAAAAAAGAGAGAAAAAAAGAAGAAGAGGAAAACATGGTCTACCACTTCTTTAAAAAAAAACAACTTAATTTAGCTTTTTTTTTTATTAGCTTTGCTTTAATTCGTGCTTCAGATATGTATTACTGCAACAGGCTAAATTATTATTCATTATAATAATGCATAACCCCCCCAAGACTAAGCACAAGTTCAAGTTTTCAATAGGCTGAGTAGGTAATTTCAGCTCTGTAGCCAAGACTAAAATAATGCCGAAAACTGTTTAAATGCGTAACTTAAGGTCAGCAGGTTTTAATAGGGAGTCACTCAGTCAAGTCAAAGATCTCATGCTTGGCTAATAAGTGATTATTTTGCGCCAGAACTAAAGTAGTTGCAGATTTGGTGTATGAAAGTAAGTCTTTTATGTGCAAAACTTTTAATGTGATTCTCACTTTAAAATTAATGAGCACACGCTGAGAGAGAGAGAAAAAAATAGTAAACCAGCCTAAGATGTTTTGAAAATCTTAGCTGGCCTCTCAGTCTGACCTGAATGGTTCTCCAAACCACTATAAAAACCATCCAAGAGAACAGCCAGGGAGACCAACTAGATCCAGCTAACCAGTTTAAGATTTTAAGGGCATAACTTAAAGCTAATCAAAAATAATTATCTGTTATTTACCCCTCTAAAGCAAACGTGTAAAACAAAAAAAAAATCTTGTTACACTTGTCATTGTAATTATAGCCTATGTGCTGAGAAATATTAATTAACAACATATACTTACTATGGGGTTAGGGAAGGATTATGGTTTTGGTTGTGGGTTAGTTACGTGTAATTATGCAAGTATTACTGTTATTACTATGGCAAGAACATGTAACATACCTAACAAAGACACTAAATTAAAGTGTTACCAACAATTCTAACCGCACCGATCGAACTAGAATTCACACTGTAAATAAGAGTCATGGCGACATCTAGTCCTAATACTCGAGCATTACATCTGCATTTATTTATTTTCCTCAACCTGAGGGGAAGAAACACTAAATTAATAACATTTCTGGATTAACATTGCGTCATGCATATAAATCGAATTTTGAAATACTGAATTACATTCTCAAATTCAAAAGAGGAAATACACGCGAAATAATCGCGACAGAATTCGACTGTTGCTAGGGGCAACCGGCGAAACTTTGTATTGCCACCAACCGTTGGATTGTTGCGGCTCATTGCGGTTGAGACGCCTTTGTGAAGAAACCTGATTTTTTTCTTCTTCTTCTTCTGCAACACACAAGCTTGAAAGATTCAACATGACATCTCCTAGGAAAATCCAAATAGACCTTAAAACGATGATCACTGACACTAAACAGGTACGTTTGTGAGCCGTGACGTTCATACAAAACTGTTTACACCCGTTCAGCAACTGACACGCATTGACCCTGTGTTTATGATCGATTAGCGACTGTTTCGATTTTCTATTTGTGATAAAATCGTAATTTGAAACAATTCTCTAAACTAAAGCAATAACAAAGCAACTGGTGGTGCATTTCATTGCGCAACGATGTCGTATTTTGTAATGTATATTCTACGTCATTTTAAAAAAAAATTATTATTATTAATTATGAAAAGTATTTGAATTTTAGGTTTTGTTTCATAATATCCGAGACATCATACTCAACTTGCAGTTGTTTGTGAGCTTTTAAAACCAGTAGTTGCCAGTAGGGAAAACATTTCGGAGCTGTCACATTTTTACCATGTTTCCCCCCCTAGATTCAGTTTCGGTGACACACTTTGAAGACTTGGAAGATTTACTCGAGGGGAAAAAAAACTGTTCATATAACATTGACCTTTTATGATTACGTTAATTGCCTTAAAATGCGCCACAAAAAGAAATTGCCTAATGCATAATGCAAGCACAAATGTATTGTGTAACTTACAAAAATGCCACACTATTGTTTTGGCTAATACATAATATTACACTGTAACATAATATTTATATATTTAAAACACGTGACAACAACCTCATTTGAAATCTGCCATCATTAGCCTAGCTATTTGACTCTTGCTTGCCTTGTGTATTCCAGTGTGGTTTTATTGTGTTCAATAAAACCAGGTGATAAACTGATCACTGGTGCTTGTTGAAGCTTTGTGAATCTTTAGTGTTGAACGAACCAGTGATTCGGAGGTCGTATCAAACTGCCTGCGCCACGTGATTTCAGTAAACGAGGCTTCGTGACTTACCCTAAAACTGTTTAGAAATTTTAAGACATTTCTGTCGACAAAAAAAGGAAGAATTTTATTTAATAGTCTGTTATTGGCCTAAAGCCCTCCATAAAAAAACAAGAACAACCATTTAATAAAATAACATTATACCGAATTCATATTTAATGTTATTAGATTATTTGTTTGTTTTTTTAATTGATTACACTTTCAATAAAACAATTGGTTTATAAATGTTAGATGCATTTACACCAGCAGGCGTCACCAGCGTGTGTCGTATGAGCTTCAAAACAGAGAATCATTTAGGTTCAATTGATTCAAAATTTAGAAAAGGTCCGTTTCTCCCTTCTCTAGTAGGTCTCAAGAAAGGAGGGAATTTTAATAATAATAATAATATAAATAAGGGAAGACTTCAAAAATATAAATATGTTATAAAATAATAGGTCCACTGCTGAACAATAACTAAATAAAATAAATAAAAAGGGTAAATAAAAAAATAAATAAAAAAGGCTAAATAAAAATAAAAAACATTTTAAAACAAAACAACATTCAGAAATTAAACCTAAACAAAGACAAACCACAGAATAATACCCAGTTATTAAATTAGCACACAACTGTGTCAATAGCAACACTAATAAACAAAGAGTTGTGAACAGTTGGGTGTTAATTAATAATTAATTAATAAATAAAAAATAAAAAAACATCTCTTCGCTTCAGAAAGCCTTTATTGCCCCCCCCCCCCCCCCCCCCTTTTTCGGCTGAAAGAAGAAAGTCGTATAGACCATTTTTGCAAGATGTAAACAACACTGGTCCAGAAGCACTTCCTGTTTCAGTTTTTTAACACTACATAAAAGCTGAGATAAAATACAACGAACAGAAAATATAAAACTGAATCAAAAAATTAAACAAATATCTTTAAGATGTTTTCTTTACATGTGAAATAAAGAAAACGGTTACAAACTGAAACAGGAAGTGTTTCTGGACCAGTGTTGTTAACATCTTGCAAAATGGTCAATATGGGTGAACTAACCCTTTAATCTTTCCTACTAGGATATGGACGATGTGCACCAAGCTCTGGAAAAACTCCGAAGCCTCTCCCAGGAAGAGAGGACCGAGGCAGAAGTGCTGCGTTCAAGAATTGACGAGCAGTCCACTCTCATCTGCATCCTGAAACAGAGAGCGGACGAGATGCTCCTGCGCTGTCAGGCTCTGGAGAAGATCAACACAGAGCTGGAGGACCTGAGAGCCAATGTGCAGCTGGAGCTGGAGAACGAGAGGAAGAAATCTGCACTGCTGGAGCAGAGATTCATGCACCTGGCCTCCAACCACAGAGAGCTCATCAACTTCAAGAACGAGTACAAAAGTCAGAATGCCAAGCTGAAGAAAGAGAATGAGAGAGTCAGACAGGAAAATGAAACGCTTTTCAGTGAGCAAGTGCAAGAAAAAGAGGAGACAATCCTCAAACTGACCCAAGAGCTCAAGGACTTGGCAGAGCAACATAAGATACTAGAGACGGAGTATCAGTAAGAAATTGTTCACAGTTCCAATCTGTTTTGAAAGTAAAAACCTCATTGGTCATTTTCTCCATAAATAGATTTTAATGATAACTTCACTATAAAGAGGCCATATTGTGCCCTTTCATAAAGTCTTCACACATTTTTGACATTGTTGCAGCTCCTGTCTTCCCAGTCTGTCAGTAACACTCGGTTAAGTTTCTGTCTCTATGAAGTGTGCTCTGATTAGTCAGCTGGACCAGTGTGTTGTGATTGGTCAGCCGCTTCCAGCGTGTTTCTGAAACACACTACTAACTCAACTCAACCAAGTCCCGCCCCTTTTTTTAATGCATTGGGCAGGAATTATTTAAATGAGGAATATTGTGACACGTTCATTCCTGGAAGAAAGCTTAAAGGAGAACTTCGGTCAATTTTAACATTGAGCTCATTTTTTTTTTGTTTTGTTGAACATTTGGTGTGCTGTCAGTACAGACATTAACGACAAAAATCAGTGTTGCCTACACCGTGTTATTCTCTTTTTAAAATTCGCAACCTGTTGACTTTAATGGGGCAAGTTCTAAACCTGCTTTTAGCCTCTTAACATCCTTGATTTGTCATTACGTGTGTGTGAGTGGTGTTATTAAGAGTGACCACGGTCAATCTGACTGCAGTAGATGTGAAAGACATTAATAAAAATAATGTTAATTCAGCAAGCTCGCATACCTGTATTTACTTCCTGTTTTCGGTCGAAGTCCACAGTAGTTGATTGTCGAGTTTTTAAAAGGGGAGAACACGGTGTAGGCAACACCGATTTTTGTCGTTTTTGTCTGTACTGACACTCCAAATGTACAAAAAAAATGAGCTCTATGTTAAAATTGACCGGAGTTGTCCTTTAAGACTACAATGGCATTTCAGGGAGTTCAGAAACAGCGACACTGATATAGAGAATAACTCCCAATGGAGGGAGTTTTTTTCATTTTTTCATGCTCAAACAGCAACAATACACACTAAAGAAAGTGGAAAATGTGAAAAAAGCACAATAGGACCTCTTTAAAAAAGAATATTGCTAAAATCCTGGTTAATCTACACTAACATAGATATTCATAATCCTAAACAGAGATCCACTTTAGTTTTGTTTTACAGTTTTCTTAAACTCATGCTTCTTAGTACAATTTATTGATTTTTTTTAATGCATATGCATAAATTAATGGGAAATATACATCCAGAACTATGGCCGCTGAAAAAGTGGACTATCATTATTTACTTTCTATCATTCAGTGAAATAAGTAAAACAAGTACATTAGTCAGTAATCTTTTCTATCCCAACAGGGAGAAAACGACAGGTTTCCAGATTAAACTGAAAGAACTGATCAACCTCCATCAGATCAAAGAGGCGTCTTTGAAGAACGAGCTAAGCGACACACAGAAGCAGCTGAAGAATGCTGTAGAGATGTGTGCAGGTACGCATTCAGGATTTCACCAAAACGAACTATTCTAGCAATGAGAATAACAATTGTAGATTTTGCAGATCAAAACAAGTCAAATGGCATTAAAAATGGTGGTTCTCAATTGGTGGATCACAGCCCAAAAACCCCAAAAACAGACCAAGAGACAAATTACATTTAAAATGCAACTAACGAAATCATGCATAGTTAGTTTGAGAAAACAATTAGGCAGATCAACTTCTTATTAAAGAGAAAACATGAGAAAAATTGGATTGTGCATCCAATCAAACTCTACAGTGTTTGGTTTAAATTGATCTAATAAAACAATTAATTTATTTCAGTGTTTGATTTTAAAAACATTAGTTCACTTTCGTAGGATGGTCAGTTTTGAAACAGTGTTGGGTCGCCACATGATGTTAAATGTAAAATGTCCTGAAACAAAATCAAACCCTGAGCTTGAACAATTGTCTCTTAACTAGTTCTTACTGGCACACTGTTTGACACCTCACACATTTCTTTCTGCTAGAGTTGGATCTCAAACTAAGACAAACAAAGGAAAAAGAATCATTGAGAGAGACAGACACTCAGGAAAGACTGAAGAAACTCATGAAGGAAAAGGATGAGTTAATTGATCTCTCTTTACAGCGGGGAAAAGTTATTCAGGTAAGATTTGACACCAAACAGTTACTTCAATGTATATTTTCAGATTGAGACGTAATGATTTCACTGCAATATGTTACAGGACAAGCAAGCTGAAATTCAGGAGCTAGAGAGAAAAAGGCATGAAGCTGAGAAAAGCAGACTAGATGCAGAGAACAGGTATGAATCTCAAAACACATTTTTAATCCATATATAAGATATTTAGTCTTGATCAATGGAGTTTTAGGGCCAGGACACACTAAGGCCGTTTCTCAAAACCAAGAATGCAAAGAACGGACTTGTGTTCTTGGGAAGAAAGCTCTTGCTAGTTGTTCGAACTCACGAGGTGACGAGCACACAGAACGCTGCTGACAGTTTGAGACGTGTGTTCTTACTGGTATTGCGCAATAGTAACGTTACACCCGCACAGACGCCGTCTGCAGTGCCCAAACATAACGAGAATTATTATACAGCCAGGCTTTATCGCCCAAGCCTAAGGGATTACTCTACATACTAGGGATGCACCGATACCACTTTTTTGGAAAACGAGTACGAGTACTTGCATTTCAGTACTCGCCGATACCGATACCGAGTACTTAATAAAAAAACAAAAAAAACATGATTTAAATATTTTTATATACGGGTTTTTAGGTCCTTGATTAAATTACTTGGGTAACACTTTATTTCGATAGTCCACTTTACTAACTATAAGTAACTTTTCAATTACATGTCAACTAACTGTCATTAGAGTATTAGTAGACTAGAGTATTAGTACGATCAGCTTAATATCTGATAACACTTTATTTATTTGGTCCCCCAACAGACATTCAACTGACTATAAGTAACTTGGCGACTACAAGTAAACTTATTCTCCTAATCCAAAGCCATTCACTTTGAAATTGTTCCACACCAGTGATGCACGGGTTGATCCAAAATGAGCGGGTGCCTGCGCCGCGGTCACCCGCGGTTACCCGCAGTTACGGGTCATCTAAAAATATTTTTAATGATATTCGGGTCGCGGTCGGTCAGGTCGTTTGGAAAAAATGCCAATTAAACCTTTGTATTTATATAGTACTAGATAGAATTTTCTATGAAATATATAGGCCGAATTTATTTATTGGCTGAATAACTGGCACGAAGATGACACACAAGCTCAGTCTAAACAGTTCTCAGTTCTGTACTGGTGTTATCACCTCTGCGTTCGCGGATGCGCAGTATCAGCAGTATCAACAACATGTCTCAGTTCAGTGAACTGTTAGAGTTACTGGAGTAAAATATAATTCGGGATATTGGTTTATTTCAACTCGGAGGGACTGTCAGGCATGTCTGAAAGTGAGTAACTGTAGTAACTTGTGGATCAGCACTGACACAAGACGTGAACTGATGCGAATGATTCAGTTCGATTTAGCGTACTGGTTCGACCGGTTCATTAAAAAGAACCGATTCGTTCACGAACCGGCCATGTCTATGATCACTAGTCTGCAGAGAGATGGAGGCGGCAAGAGAAAAGGTGAAGACTGGGGGGTGGAAGCTCCGCAAATACACAAATAGAAAGAGTAAGTGTGGGAGACATTTACCGAAATAATGAAAGATGATGACCAAAGTGCTGCCTTTGTTATGTAGGCTACGTCTTCTTGCGATGCTGTGTTGTTACACGTTTATGGCCCAATGACGCTACGATGAGCATGTACTACTTTTAAAAAATACGGTCAGGAAGAGGGTCGGGTACAATATTTTCTTACTTTTTTTGCGGTCCGAGTAGCGGGCGGGTAGTTGAAAACGTTGGTAGTGTGCGGGTTGTTTATACATTGACCCGCGCATCACTGTTCCACACGGCTGACATGTCTCCCCATCTCCCCGCTCTGAGCTGCAGCCGGAGCCTGGGGGTGGGCACTCGGCGCCTGTGATTAACCCATTTCTCAGAACATGGTATCGGTCCCCGGTATCGGGGGACTTTTAACGAGTACGAGTACTTTAGAAAATGTGGTATCGAGGCCGATACCAGATACCGGTATCGGTGCATCCCTACTACATACACTACAATGTAATGTATATTCACAACAATAAAGCAACACATGTCTCATTTTAATTCTGCTTCTGTTGTTTGTGTACATCACTAGCCAACGGCGGGAAAAAACGCCGGTAATATTCGGTAATATTCAGGTAACTTTTGACCTGCCTCTCTCTGCTTCCCGCTCCTTCCGCGAATGCCGAAATGAATTATGGGATAAGTTACCAACCGATGCATCCTCGATAAAATGGGAGTGTCAAGAACACATCCGTGATTTTTAACCGTTCTTGCCTAAATGCAAACTTGTGTATTGGGACAGTACTTGGGCCGCGACTGATGACGTTTTACAAGTCCACAAGAACACAAGTACAGACAAGAAGGCATATTGAGAAACGGGGCAAGTCAACGGTCAGCCGTCAGGTAATGTCGAGCTGTTTTGAGTGTCGGTCGACTTTGTTTTTTCTGTGTGTTCCTCACTGCTGGCTCTAGCCGGACGCTGTCTGTTTTTTTTGGGCTGATTCAGCATGTTGAATCGGTGTCGGGCCGTCAGGGAGAGTAGATTCGGATTGGCTGTTCAGCTTAGCGAACGAGTCAGTGCACGAGAATAAAAGTGAAAGTGAGAAAAGCGAGCAAAGAAGTCAAGACGGTACAGACAGAAGGCTGTTTTAATTTTTTACATTTTTATTTACGCTTTTTTATTCACGCTAGATACACTGGACCAAATTTTCACCTCAGCGAGGGGAGCAATCACAGAACGGGGAGGGAGCAGCAAGACGATGACGACGTCTATGCGACACACCGAAGCAGTTTGTTTATACCTATGGATCAAACATGGCAGCAGACGCGAAGTTACCTTTCGATGCAGTCTTAGATACATACGCCATCGTGTACACACAAATCTCTGAGCCATCGTCTTCTTCCTCGTCTAATTGAACCGATTGGCTATGAGCTACTACAGGCGCATTTGATAGACATTCGTAGCACCCAATAAACGGCTCTGGGTATTCGTAAACCACGCCTCAAATGTGGTTCCCAGACCACGCCTTATGCCTGGTTCAGATTACACGATTATAGCCCGATTTTGGCACGATCCGATTGACGTAGGGTGTCGTAAACGACAACGGGCGTCGGGACACAAGATTCGATCGTATCTTGTATAGTGTGTCATAGTGGGTGACAACCTACGTCGCGTCTGCGATGCTTCACGACATCACGACAAAAAGACTAGCATGTTTAATTTTTTTAACGGTCGTCCACGGCGGTTCCGTCACATGTACGAGGTTGACCAATAGGAGCACAGAAGCTTTTTTCCGTATACAACTTTCAAAAATGGCGAAACAAAAGAGAGACGATGGTGCTAACGTTAAAACTAAAAGTAAAAATATATAAGAAAACAATATTTTACCTCAAGTTCTCTTTGGAGGATTGACAGCCCATACTGTCCTCTTCGAGCAATCCAGGAACGTGTCCATTGTCGGGTTTTTTCTGAACACAGGACAGCCAATACAACACTCACCGCTTCATCCATTGTTTGTTTACGTTCATTTCCAGAGTTCACTCGCTACTAGTTTTGCCTTCTCGATGACATCACGCGTGCCGTTAAAGACGGCGTGCGATGACTGGTCAGGAAGTAACGTGTAGTCCACGACACGACAAGATTTTAGTAGTCAAAATCGCGTAGTATGACACAGTGACTATCGTAACAGACAAAAAAAAATTGTAATCTAACCGTGGTTTTACGTTAGCTAGGCTATGAGCCGACTGGAAATTGAAAATAAAACGATGAATTATTGGCTCAGTTTGTCTTTGCCATGTTTTTTGAATCAGGTTTGAAAAGGAAGCAGCAGCCGTGAAGAGCGAGTTAAGGGTGAAGGAACTCCAGGATGCCTTAGAGAGGGCAGAGGACACCTGCAATGAGTTGAAAAAGGTCTGTTAAAAAAAGTCCTCTATGGACATTGGACATTTTGGTCTCAATGGCATCTCAATGTTTTTACATCTCACACTTTTAGGCATTTGAGGCATTTAAAAAGCACAGCAGTGAAATGCTTGAAAAGGAGAAGGATTTAAACTGCAAACTTCGCCACATGGTCATCTGAGCCATCCATCCCATTTCCAGTGCATTCAGTCATTATAAAGCAAAACTCATTCACTGACAGCTGAGCTGGATCATCGCACTTGGATTGGTTGTATATAATGAACTAGAAGACGAGGATGAAGTGAGATTTTTCTTAAGAGAACGTCTTCCATTAGTAGAGAGTAGTGTAATGTCCTTCTGTGAGGAAAAAGTGGATTTGTTAATAGTTTGCAAATAGCTTGTTTTGGCTAACTGTGGTTCTATGAAATAAAAAATAGCATTTTTAAACTTCAAATGTGATTTAATCGCATAGGTTCCTGATGGCAGGGCTGTCGTGATTATTAAAGAATCGCCTGAACATGATTATTTGAGAAGTTACTGATCGTTGTAAGCTTTGAATTCCAGGAATTTTAAACAAATTTGGAATGTTTTAAATGGAATTTTAACCCCTATTTTTTTTTTAGCTCTCTCCGACCAAGAAGATTACATCGAGTTAGAATGTTCAAAATTAAAGGAAAAGTTCGCCCCAAAAAAGAACATTTTCATTATTTACTACTCTCCCTGATGTTGTTGAAAATGGTTACACTTCATTTAGATGGTTCACTTTAGACGTTCAACTAATTATAACTAACTTTGCAATTACATGTCAACTAACTCTCATTTGAGCATTAGTAGACTGTTAGGTTCAGGGTTTGGGTTAGTAGAGAAGTTGACTTGTGGTTGCAAAGTTACTTACAGTCAGTATAAGGTCTGTTGTGGAGCATTTAAATAAAGTGTTAGCAGATATTAATAATTTTAGTGTTCCTTCTAGAAATTCGACCATCGAAATAAAGTTTCCCAAAATATTTTTGGATTTCATCGTCTACTTGAAGAAAGAAATACATCTGCGTAATTTCAAACATTTGGAAAAACCAGAAAAATTAAATCATCATGCCATTTTAATCATCATGCCAGCTCATCTGATGCTCATCTGTACAGTATATGCAATAAATTGAACTTTTCTATATGTAGCCTCATTCCTGATTAGATAAAACCACTCAACTGTGTAGTAAAAGCTCTCAAGCCATATTGCACTTAGAAATGTAATGTTCACCTTCCAGTTTCTTCCGGCACTTGAAGTCATGCTTTGGTTCACCCTGTATCCCTCCATGAAACTGTACATCTGTCCAACAAAAACAACATACAGTATCTTTAGCATTTGCAAAGTTTGTCAGCACAAAATTACAGTATTTTGCTGAAGTTTGTCATTTTTAGTGTGGTCATTCCTGAACTAATATGTGAGCAGGTATTAGACCAGATGTTTATGGTCATCTGGTCTGCATCTGTATATATGTTTTAGAACATCTGGATGATTTAGAGACGTTCATCCCTGATAGCATGTTAAGTTAACATTTTAATTGCATCTTGCATTGCACTAGCGATATCCTAATCTATTTTTGTCCTAAGTTGAGTATATTTACTCATTTTTCTCAAAACGATGGTCGTTCCATGGGGTGTGAACCCAGAGACTAGCTCAGATCTTTAACCTCTAAGGTTAGGTATGCAAGTGGTATGTCCTTATATCATCCCAGTGAGTTTTAATGACTGTGAGGTTGCGGTCAAAATGCTGGATTCCTTTGTGTTCTCGTAACTGCATGTTGCCGTATCACCATTTCATACATCACATCAAGTTGAGGCAAGTGTCCGTGCCATAACTGACCAATGTACCCGCCCTTTGCATCTGACCTAGTCAGCGGTTCATAACCCCAATGCCATGACAATCTTTTTCCTCAGAAGTGCTGTGAATATTGGAATTGCCTTATTTGGGAATCACTGGAATGGTGTGAATGACCCTGTTTCTGTGACCTCTTGTTTTTTTACTAGTTGTAATTCTTTCCAAAAATACTGATGTAGAGAGGACTTGACTGTTAAGAGATCATTTATTTTAGATGATATGTAAAGCATTTCAAGTATGTATAAAAACGATATGAAAGCACAACTGTTTGTGATCCTCTTTTGTAAGCTATATCTCCAAGAACATCCCTGCTGAAAGAGGAAAAACACACATCTTAAAGCATCCTAAGCTGGTGTGTGGGTGTTTGTCGGTCTGGTGGCTGATTTTAGAGAGGTTTTGAGCACTTTCCAGGCTTGGTCAGGCTGTGAGAACAGCAAATTTAAGCTGGGATGTCCAGATCAGATTTTACTACAAAAATCACATTTTAACAATGACTTAAGCATGGTCCGATGCCAAAGTTTTCCCAAAACCGATAAAAGGTCTGATTATGGTGTAGCAAGGCCCTTTATTTTGTCGTTTGTCATTTGGTTTTGGTTAATGTTTGAATAGTGGGAAATTATTTTACAAATGTGAAAAAAAGTCACACTATCTCACAACTAGTAAACATAAAAGCTGCTATAATATTTCTCATTTCTCTTTATATTGTGCAAACTCTTTATATTTCCACTCGTTCAAGCTGTTTTTAATTAACTTCGACATTAGTTGCTGCATTATACACTAAAAATGTTAAGCCTTTTTTAAGATTTATGCATTAGAATTAATAGTAAAAATCCATCAATTTGAATTGAATAATCCTTACATGTTTTAATTGAATAATTGATTAAGGATTGTTCAATTATTTAATTCAAATAAGGATTATTCAATTCAATTCGATGGAATTTTTATTGAAATGTGTAAATCTTAAAAAGGCTTACTTTTTTGCAACATTTAATGAGCAATACATTTGTTACAGTTTTATTGATCTTTGTTAACGTTAGTTAAAAAAATACAACTGTTTTTGTTAGTTCATGTTATATAGGTCCATTAAATAATTTTACAGAAAGTACTTTTGATTTCAATATTGTAGCATATTAGTAAATGCTGAAATTAACATTAACAAAGATTAATAAGTGCTTTAGCTATTTATCATTGTTAGTTCATGTTAACTAATGTAGTTAATAAATGAAACCTCATTTTGAAGTTTTACAACTCTCATCTCAATCCGTCCTTGTTGCCACATAATAACTACTGTACCTTTAACTGTTGAAGCCACTATTTCCAAATTTCCAACTTGTAATTATGATCTGGTTTTTACTAGTCGGAAACTCATAATTATAGTAATTCTGACTAAGGATGCAGCAAAAATACACAAATTGGGTAAAACAAGGAAAGTACAAACAATCATTCCAGGACAGGGGTAAAAAAGAATAAAACAACAAAGTCATACTTAAGGTGAGCATAATCATGTGACAGACCTATAATAGAGCTTGAATTGCACACTGAAACATGACGCCGGACCACCACCTCCTCAATGCATTCTGATCCTAGGGCGTCATATACTGATGCTTTTGACCATGCATATACATCCAACGCACATGACATACTTCAGCGTCAATATAACATGCTTCGATTATGGTAGGGTTAGACCACTAGGAGGCGCCTTCTGGCGCGTCTCATATTGACGCTAAAGGGTGCCGTGTGCGTTGGATGTATACGCGTCAGTACAGTATATGACGCCTTGGGATGAGAACGGGCTGAAATGACTGCCTGAACTTGCATCTCCGGAAAACTCCCACCACAAATGTGTTCTGGCTCCACCCACACCTGAAGCCACGCCCCCAGCAGCAGCACTTTCACCAACTCCCACCTGACCGAACGCTGCCTTTAACAAACGAGTCCGTTCATCCCGTCTACAGCTGGAATTTCTAACAATGGAAAGAGCGACGCAGTTGCTGAGCGCTTATGCATGCCTTTACATGAGTTTGTGATTCTTCAGAGAGAAATGCATTATTTGTGGCTGAGACCCACCATTAGGATTGTCTTGGTACTTATAGTTGTAGAGTATCATATGGAATTGAGAAACCTCTTCAAATGTTTTCTCATGTACAGTGGAATCATTTTGAGAAACTTTTTATAGAAAACGATTTTATTGTTGCAGATGTTGCAAATCTGAATTTCACCTTGGGTAATATTCCTTGACAGAAAAGAAAAATAAATCGAAAGCTGACAACAATTTTCATTTTTAGATGAACTAACCCTTTAAAGGTTTTGCTGATAATTTTCTCACCCCCATGTCATCCAAGATGTCCATGTCTTTCTTTCTTCAGTCGAAAAGAAATTAAGGTTTTTGATGAAAACATTCCAGGTGTTTTCTCCATATAATGGACTTCAATGGGAACCAAACGGTTCAAGGTCCAAATGAGAGTTTCAGTGCAGCTTCAAAGGGCTTTAAACGACGCCAGACGATGAATAAGGATCTTATCTAGGGACCCTTCGAGTCATGACTCGAAAAAAAGATTTGTTCATTTTGATAAAGAGTTCGAACAGGAGAGTCACGAACGCTCATGACAGAACAGAGCAAGGCGAGCATTTGTGCTTATAAAACTTAAACTTTATTTTTGAAATGGCCGATCGTTTCGCTAGATAAGACCCTTATTCATCGTCTGGTGTCGTTTAAAGCTGCACTTAAACTCTCATTTGGACCCCATTGAAGTCCATTATATGGAGAAAAATCGATGAAGTCCATTGTGAATGTTTTCATCAAAAACCTTAATTTCTTTTCGACTGAAGAAAGAAAGACATGGACATCTTGGATGACATGGGGGTGAGTAAATTATCAGCAAAAGTTTTTTTTAAAGTGAACTTCTCCTTTAAGATCTCTGAAAATCTTAATCTTAAAATTGTGTAGGCTATATTCATTATAATGTTGCTTCAGTTTGTGTAAACGGTGATGAATATCTTATTTAATTTAGCATGTTTTTATCAACTAATATGTTATTTCTATTGGCTAAAATGAATTAATGTCATGATTTAACTCATATTTCAATCAAAAAAATAATTTTTGAGAAGAAAGAAACGTCTCTTAATTGAATCTCTTTGCAGCTGAGAGTGTGATTTGACTTTCATACATTTACATTTTTGTATCATAATCCTCATTGAGAGGGTAAAATGTGTGGTTTCTGAGACAAAGCATTCCAGAGTGTCAGTCGTGCCGTGAGTGCTCATAGCCTGCGGAGTTAGAAACCGAAACAGCCTCGGCATCTTCCGAAGTCTGCTCCGGACATGCTAACACTTGTACCATACTTGCACTTGGGTCACAGGTCACATACGTTCACACCCGGGTCAGAAATGAACTGGGACTTGAGGTTGAGAAGTCCACCAAAAGTGATAAAATGCCCCAGGGTATACTGTGAGGACCATCCTCTTTTTCTCTCACTCAAATTATTGCTTTGGTAGGCTTTATTAGAACATACTTATTGTTTGGGGTCAGTGTGATGTTTTTCTTTAGAAAGAACGTAGTTGCACTTAATTTTACAGTACTGGGGTTACGGTTAGGTTTGGGAGGTTCATGGTTATGTTATAACCCAGTTACCTTACATTACCAGTACTTTTGGGGGTAAGTATATTAAAAGTGCACATGTAAAATAAACTGCAAGCTAGAAATGAACACTTTCATCCATCGAGGGCACATTAAATTGATCAAAAGTGTATTTTAAATGAATGCTGTTCTTTCCATTCGTCTAAATAACCCTGAAATAAAAATGTATG